ACAAAATTTCATGTAAATTCTTAGTAAATTACTCAGAAAATTCCCTGTAAATTCTCAGTAAATTACTCGATAAGTTCTCACTAAATTTTTTGTAAATTACTCAGAAAATTACTCAGTAAATTGTTAGTAAATTCTCAGTAATTTACTCAGTAAATTTTCAGTTAATTCTCTACAAATTCTCAAAAAATTACCAAATAAATTCCCAATAAATTCTCAGTAAATTCCAAAAAAAAAATCTAACTAAATTACTCAGTGAATTCTCAGTAAATTACACAATAAATTAGCCAGTAAATTCTCAGTAAATTACACTGTAATTCTCGGTAAATTACTCAGTAAATTCTAAATAAATTCTCAGTAAATTACTCAGTAAATTCCCATTAAATTACTCAGTAAATTCTCTAGAAATTACTATTTAAATTTTGAGTAAATTACTCAGTACATTTATTCAGTAAATTGTGAGTTAATTACCAAGTAAATTTTTAGTAAATTCCTAGAAATTACTCCGTAAATATCTAATAAATTCTCACAAAATTATTCAGTAAATTCACAATAAATACTCAGTAAATTACTAAGTAAATTATTGAGTATATTCTCAGCAAGTTCTAAAAAAATTTTCAGTAATTTAATCTTTAAATTCCCAGTAAATTTCTTAGTAAATTTTCAATAAATTCTCAACAAATTGCTCAGTAAATTACTAGTAAATTCTAAGTAAATTATTCAGTAAATTCCCAATAAATTCTCTGGTAATTCCTTGTAAAGTTTTCGTAAATTCTTAGTAAATTACTCAGTAAATTCCCAGTAAATTACTCATCAAATTCCTAGTAAAATTACTTAGTAAATTTTCAGTAAATTCTCTGTAAATTACTCAGTAAATTATCCGTAAATTCCTAGAAAATTCTAAGAAAATTTCTCAACAAATTAAACAGTAAATTCTCGGTAAATTACCCAGTAAATTCTCTGTCAATTCCCTGTAAAACCCCAGCAAATTACTCTGTAAGTTCTCAGTAAATTCTTAGAAAATTACTCAGTAAATTGCCAACAAATGCTCAGTAAATTCTCTAAAAATTACTCATTAAATTCCCAGTAAATTACTCACTTAATTACCAATCAATTCTCAATAAATTCCCAAGAAATACTCATAAAGTTACGTTGTAAATTCCCAATAATTTACTCAGTAAATTCAATGTAAATTACTCAGTAAATTCTCATTAAATTACTCTCTAAATTTTTAGTAAATTCCAAACAAATTACAGAATAAATTCTCAGTAATTCCTAGTAAATTACTCAATAAATTCGCAATAAATTTTCTATAAATCACTTAGAAAATTTCTCAGTGAATTCCCTAAAAATTACTCAATTAATTACTAAGTAAATTACTTAGTAAATTACTCAGTAAATTCTCAGAAAATTCCCAGTAAATTCCCTGTAAATTCTCAGTAAATTACTCAGAAAATTGCCAGTAATTTCTAAGTAAATCCCCTGTAAATTCTCAATAAATTACTCTAGAAATTCCCACTATGTTCCCAATAAATTACACAGCAAATTCCCAGTAAATTCGCAGTAAATTACTCAGTGCATTACTCTGTAAATTGCCACTAAATTATTCAGTAAATTATAGTAAATTCTCAGAAATTACTCAGAAAATTTCCAGTAAATTAACAGTAAGTTCCCAGTAAGTTCCCAATAAATTCTAACTACATTATTTAGTAAATTCCCAGTAAATTCTCAACAAATTACTTAGTAAATTTCGAGTGAATTCTCAGCAAATTACTCATTAAATTCTCTATAAATTACTCAATAAATTCTCTATAAATTAATCGGTAAATTCCTAACAAATTCTCAATAAATACACAATAAATTACTCAGTAAATTATGAGTAAATTCTCCGTAAATTCCCACAAAATTCCATGTAAATTCTTAGTAAATTACTCAGAAAATTCCCAGTAAATTTTCAGTAAATTACTTAGTGAATTCGCAGCAAAATCTCAGCAAATTACTTAGTAAATTCTTCTTAAATTACTTAGTAAATTACCTAGAAAATTGCAAGTAAATTATAAGTAAATTACCTTGTAAAATCACATTAAATTCGCTATAAATTCTCAGTAGATTACTTGTAAGTTCTCAGTAAATTATCTGTAAATTATTAAGAAAAAATGCCTCTAAATTCTCAGTAAATTACTCATCAAATTTTCAGTAAATTCTCAATAAATTCTCAATAAATTACTTAGTAAGTTCCCTGTAAATTCTCAGTAAATTACTCGATAAGTTCTCACGAAATTTTTTGAAAATTACTAAGTAAATTGTTAGTAAATTCTCAGTAATTTACTCTGTAATTTTTCAGAAAATTACCAAATAAATTCCCAATAAATTCTCAGTAAATTCCAAAAAAAAATCTAACTAAATTACTCAGTGAATTCTCAGTAAATTACACAATAAATTCCCAGTAAATTCTCAATAAATTAGTCAGTAAATTCTTAGTCAATTACACTGTAATTCTCGGTAAATTACTCAGTAAATTCCCATTAAATTACTTAGTAAATTCTCTAGAAATTACTATTTAAATTTTGAGTAAATTACTCAGTACATTTATTCAGTAAATTGTGAGTAAATTACGAAGTAAATTTTCAGTAAATTCCTAGAAATGTCTCAGTAAATATCTAATAAATTCTCACAAAATTATTCAGTAAATTCCCAATAAATACTCAGTAAATCACTAAGCAAATGACTGAGTAAATTCTCAGCAAATTCTAAAACAAATCTTAGTAATTTAATCCTTAAATTCCCAGTAAATTTCTTAGTAAATTTTCAGTAAATTCTCAACAAATTGCTCAGTAAATTTGCTCAGTAAATTACTTGTAAATTCTCAGTAAATTATTCAGTAAATTCCTAATAAATTCTCAGGCAATTCCTTGTAAAATTTTCGTAAATTCTTTGTAAATTACTCAGTAAATTCCCAGTAAATTACTCATAAAATTAACAATAAAATTACTTAGTAAATTTCCTGCAAATTCTCTGTAAATTACTCCGTAAATTATCCGTAAATTCTTAGAAAATTCTAAGAAAATTTCTCAACAAATTAAACAGTAAATTCTCTGTCAATTCCCTGTAAAATCCCAGCAAATTACTCTGAAAATTCTCAATAAATTCTCTAAAAATTACTCATTAAATTCCCAGTAAATTAGTCAGTAAATTCCCCGTAAATTACTCAGTTAATTCCCAATCAATTCTCAATAAATTCTCAGGAAATACTCAGAAAGTTGCGCCGTAAATTCCCAATAATTTACTTAGTAAATTCAATGTAAATTACTCAGAAAATTCACAGTAAATTAGTCTCTAAATTTTCAGTAAATTTCAAATAAATTACAGTGTAAATTCTCAACAAATTTCCAATAAATTACTCAGAAAATTCGCAATAAATTTTCTATAAATTACTTAGAAAATTTCTCAGTGAATTCTCTAAAAATAACTCAATTAATTACTGAGTAAATTACTCAGTAAATTCTCCGAAAATACTCAGTAAATTCCCAATAAATTGTTAGTAAATTGCTTGTAAATTCTCAGTAAATTACTCAAAAAATTGCCAGTAATTTCTAAGTAAATTCCCTGTAAATTCTCAATAAATTACTCTAGAAATTCCCACTATGTTCTCAATAAATTACACAGCAAATTCCCAGTAAATTCGCAGTAAATTACTCAGTGCATTACTCTGTAAATTGCCACTAAATTACTCAGTAAATTACAGTAAATTCTCAGAAATTACTCAGAAAATTTCCAGTAAATTAACAGTAAGTTCTCAGTAAATTCCCAATGAATTCTAACTACATTATTTAGTAAATTCCCAGTAAATTCTCAACAAATTACTTAGTAAATTCCGAGTAAATTCTCAGTAAATTACTCATTAAATTCTCTGTAAATTACTCAATAAATTCTCTGTAAATTAATCAGTAAATTCCTAGCAAATTCTCAACAAAGACACAGTAAATTACTTAGTAAATTCTCCGCACATTCCCACAAAATTCCATGTAAATTCTTAGTAAATTACTCAGAAAATTCTCAGTAAATTACTTATTAAATTCCCAGCAAAATCTCAGTAAATTACTTAGTAAATTCTTCTTAAATTGCTTTGTAATTCTCAATAAATTACCTAGTAAATTGCAAGTAAATTATAAGTAAATTACATTGTAAAATCACAGAAAATTCGCTGTAAATTCTCAGTATATTACTCTGTAAGTTCTCAGTAAATTCTCTGTAAATTACTAAGAAAAATTGCCTCTAAATTCTCAGTAAATTACTCATCAAATTTTCAGTAAATTACTCAATAAATTCAACTAATGTTATGTTTGGATCACTGGAATGATTAGAAGGGAATGATCATCCCATCATAATGTCATTTATAATGTTTGGTTCACTAAAAACATTATGAGAAATGCACTACAAATAGAATCATCATTCACCATTTAAAGGAATGGTCATTCCACATTCCACCTTCATTTTAGTGAACCAAAAACTAACTATCAATAATAATATCTTTAACTTAGCTGTTTGATTTACACAACTTGTCCATATATACTCACTCAAATGCACCATATTCAAATGTCTAAAACAACTAAAATCACTAAAATGGATGTATTAGCAATGATATTATCTTTAAAGATTTTACATTAATTTTCACATACACCACCACTCTAACTTGATGAATGCACATATATATACATAAATTTACAGAAATCTCTATTGTTTTTTCCCTTACCCTTTAAAATATTTGTTATCTTTATTTGACCCTTACTTGCACATGTGAGAATATTATGTAAATTACGGAAATATATCAATTAGGTTAGTTGTGAATATTCGATTGATGGTAGATTGATTGCATAGGGTTATTTCCTATTATAGATTAGGTTTCAGATTGCTATAAATATTGGTTGTAATCTTTGTATTATGTACATTTGAATAGACAGAAAACTTACATGGAATCAGAGCCACGTCCGAAACCCTAGGTCTGACCTTGATCATTCGAAGCTCGAAGTCTTCTCTGGGCTTCTCCGAAGTTGCAAAGCTATTCTTTGGTCTTCTTCAAAGTCGCGACAATCCTCTGTGCCTGGTCTAAAGTCGCGATTCAAGGCTCTCTCGTCTCTCTCTCTCTCTGGGGTTCGTGGGTCGTCTGGAATGTTCGTGGGTCGTCTGGGGTGTTCGATCGACAGTCCTCTCTCCCCCTTGGTTCGTCTGCTACTGCTTCTGCTGCTGCTGCTGCTGCTCTCTCTCTCTCTGTTCCGAAGTGTTCCTTGACCCTATATTAGCACTGTTATTTGGTTATAAAAAAATAAAAATAGAAGTAAAAATAAAAATAAACACTTATTTACAGTTTGACCCCTCAATTTTCTGGTTATTAGACTTAAACTTTTGGTTTGGCTATTTTGCTCTATTTTGGGTTATTACACTTGAACCCCTCAGTTTTTTGGTTATTATTATAATGTCTCTGGCTTCGGATGAGTGTGCCTTCTGCCATCAAAGGGGCCATTGAAAGTATCACTGTCCCAAGAAGGGATGCCTATCTAGCTCGTCTTTTCAGCAGTCTCGAACCTAGTTTTGCTCTTCTTCTCCGAGTAATTTTCAGGCTCCCGCCAGTTCTACTGTATCAGCTCTAGCTCCAGCTCCAACTCCTGATCTGGCTTCCTTGCGTGCTCGGATTAGTCAACTTCAGCATACATTGTCTACCTCCCAACCATCCCCATCTGCCTCCATTGTTTCATCTCTTCATTCAGGTTTGCTTGGATCTTCTTCAGATATTTCTTCATCTGTCTGGATTTTTGACTCCGGTGCCTCTCATCATATGACTTTCCATCTCTACCTTACTTTCAGCTTCCTCCTCTCACCGCCTCAATTTCCAAAGAGAATTTGGTTCATATTGATCCATTTCCTTCTGAGGTCCCGTCTAATGAGTATATCTCCACAGTTCCTCTTGAACTTGTCCCATCTTCTCCTCCTCCTTCACCTCTGGCTGCTTCTCCTCATTCGGTTTCTTTTCCTCATCCGTTGTTAGTTTATTCTCATTGCCAAGCTCCTCCTCCACCGATTGTCTCTGCCCCTGCTGCTGTATACATCTGATGACTTTGATCCTGCTGCACACCGATATCTTACTCGTGCGCGTCATCCTCCAAACAGGTTGGGTTGGTCTAATATATATTTTTCTACTTCCTATTGTACTTTTTTATCTGCTATTCACTCTTTTTCAAAATCTCAGTCTTATAAGGAGGCTTGTCAGGATCCTCATTGGGTTCAAGATATAGAGGATGAGTTGTCTGCTTTACAAAAAACTAGTACTTGGGAGTTGGTTCGTTGGCCTGCTGGTAGGAATTTGGTTGGTTGCAAATGGATCTACAAAGTCAAGAATCATTTTGATGGTTCTCTTGAGCACTACAAAGCTCGTTTGGTTGCTAAAGATTTCTCACAAGAGTATGGTATTGATTATGAGTAGACCTTTGCTCCTGTTGCTAAGATGACTACTGTCTGTACTTTGATCTCTGTCGCTGCTGTTCGTTCTTGGCCTCTTTATTAGATAGATGTTAAGAATGCTTTTCTTAATGGCCATCTCACTAAGGAGGTTTACATATGTCCTCCCCCTGACCTTCACCATTCCTTTGGATGGGTTTGTCACATTCGGCGTACTCTGTATGATCTGAAGCAGTCTTCCCATGCTTGATATGATCGCTTTCAGATTGTTGTTACTGAGCTTGGGTTTTATCCTTGTGCCCAGAACTCTACTTTATTTCTTCTCCACACATTTGCTGGATTTGTTACATTATTACTGTATGTGGATGATATGATCAACACTAGTTCTAATTCTTCTACTATATCTGAGGTCAAGCAGTATCTTTTCCGCACCTTTGAAATGAAAAATCTGAGCCCATTGCGATATTTTCTTGGTATTGAGGTAGCTTCTTCTCCCAAGGGTTACTTTCTCTCTCAGGCCAAGTATGCCAATAAGGTTATTCATCGTGCCGGTCTTACTGACACTATGATTTCTGATATTCCCCATTGAGCTTAATGTAAAGCTCACCACTACTGATGGTGTTCTTCTGGATGATCCTACTTTATATCGAGAGCTCGTGGGTTGCTTAGTCTATCTGACGGTTACTCGCCCTGATCTTACATATGCTGTTCATGTGATTAGTCAGTTCGTTTCTACTCTTCGTTCTATACATTGGACTGTTTTGCTTCGAATTCTTCACTATCTCCGAGGTACTATATTTCAGGATTTTTTGTTGTCTTCTACTTCCTCTTTGGACTTGGTCACTTATGCTGATTCTGATAAGGTTGGTGATGTCACTGATCGCAAGTCCACTTCTGGCTTCTGCATGTTTCTTGGTGATTCCTTGATTTCTTGAAAGAGCAAGAAACAAATTGTTGTTGCACGTTCCACTGTAGAGGCTGAATATCGTGCTATGGCTCATACTACAGCTGAGATTATTTGGCTTCGTTGTCTCTTGACTGATTTAGGTGTCCCTCAGTCTTCTCCGACCTCCCTTTACTGTGACAACCCCAATGCTATTCAGATTGCCCATAACACTGTCTTTCATGAGCGGACGAAGCACATTGAGACTGATTGTCATTTTGTACGTTAGCATCTGCAGTCTGGTTCCATCTCACTTCCTTTCGTCTCTTTGGCTTCGAAACTTGCTAATTTCTTTATGAAAACTCACACCACTGCTCGATTTCAGTTTCTTCTTGGCAAACTCTCAATATTTTCTACTAAAACACCTTGAGTTTGAGCGGGGGTATAAGAATATTATGTAAATTATGAAAATATATCAATTAGGTTATTTGTGAATATTCGATTGATTGTAGATTGATTGTATAGGGTTATTTCCTATTATAGATTCGGTTTCGGATTGCTATAAATATTGGTTGTAATCTTTGTATTACTTACATTTGAATAGACAAAAAAGCTTTCAGAAAACTTACAGCACAAAGTAGGATTGGGGGTGGAAGTGGAAGTGGAAGTGGAAGTGGAAGTGGAAGCAGAAGCAGGAGTCAGGGCAGGGTAGTGAGGGCATAGAAAAAATTTCAAGGTTGAGAGCACCTCCGAGAGCGTGTAAATATTTTATAGGTTAAATATATAAATATATTCTAAATTTTTTTTTCTGCCTAATTGTAATATATATGTTAAATATGAATAAATATTAGTGATTTATGTCAATTACAAATTGTCTTTGTTAAGTATAAATTAATAACATACAAATAAAAATTGCTACAATAAGTTTAAGTTATTTTTCTTTTATTTCTGTGATATTTGTATCTTTGAGAGGGTTCTATCTCCTTGGAGTGAGAATCTTACTCGAAGGGAGCGTGGAATCATGTCTCTAACTAAGGAACGCCACCCAAGTAGGAAATTCTTGCAACTAAGATTTGACCCCAATAAATCATTAGGACCAATTAATTCATGTTCCATTTAAGGGGCCCAAGAAAGCTAAGTCCACATTTGTTAAGGCTGGCACATATTCTTGTAAGCTTATAAAAATCAAAGGAGAAATCATTCTATTCATTTCCAAAAGCAATATATGATTCTATTTTGTTTTCATTGGTATAATTTGTTTCTATGTAGTTTCCAAAGCCAAATATGTTTCCAGTCAATCTCATTATTCTCCTAACATTTATTTTGGGTAAATCGTTTCAGGATTTCAAGAAACCATCTTATTTTTGTTGGCTTTTAATTATTATTTGGAAGTAGGGGTGGGAATTTGTGACAAGACACGATAACACGACTCAAACCGCACACGAAATTAGCGGGTTAGAGTTGACCATTTCCTAACACGAACATGTATATAACACGACTTGATAACATAAATATTAAACAAGTCGGGTTAGTGTCAAATCTGTATAACATGAAACTAACACGGATAACCCGTACAATATACAATTAGCTACACATTTTAATATTATTTCCACTAAAAAGTATCATTTCATTTTTTAATCTCTTTCGTAATTACATCCAATTTATTAAAAAGTATGTAAAATACGATTTTAAGTTTAATATAGGTTTTGTTTTGCTTTTAATTGAATTTAATGTATTTTTTGTCTATTATTTGAGTTAATCTAATAAAAAATATAATAATAAAATATAATTTTTATAAATTAAGAAAATAAAATAAAGTTAGAATTAAATATTTTTATAAATAATTTCATTTAATGGAGATTAGTTTCATTAAATTTAACTTATGTAGAAATTTTCAAACTTTTTTCACATATTTGATATTTTTAGTTAATAGTGAAATTTGTTAGCATGACACGTTAAGACGACACGAACTGGACATGGACCGAAAATGACACAACACAATAACATGAAATAATAATTATGACAAATCCGAAATGACACGACACGAACATGACCCAACACGACACGACACCTACCCCTATTTGGAAGTATGGTTAAGCCCAAATAAATACAATAAAAGTTGCAATTCAAATTGACAGTTAAATTGAAAAAGGTCCCATCTTATGGTTAAGCCATCCATAAATACCATCTTATTTCTGTTGGCTTCATCAACTTGCATACTATAATAAACCATTGGGAGTGATTTGGAGTGCCAAACAACCCCACCTTTTCTGTTTGTTGTAAAATAATGTGAGGCCCCTTGTGATGCCAATTGTCTGGACTCTAACAATACCTTCTGTATAAGTGATCAATGAAGGATTAACAGCTGCAAGAAGGGCTGTTGGATCATGAAGATAAACACCTACATCAAGTCCAAAACTACCATCAATATGTCAAATGAAAAGGTTCTACCATTTAACTGGGTTCTATTTTCATACCAAAAAATAATAATAATAAATAAAAAAAATTAAAAAAAAACCTTTCATGCAGTAAGAATCACGATGATACGAAAAGTACACATCTAAGATCTTGCACAGGTAATGAGCAAATTTTCCACCAGATTGTGCCAGCTTATCACGATCAGTATCTACCATGCATAGAAATTGGCAAAAGTTAGGTTTAAGGGAAGAAGAAAACAAACATAAATTTTGGCCATGTAGCATATGTAAACACAAATATATACACAAATGGTCTTAAAGCCTATATATGGCTGTTTTCTACCTGTCCCATTACATGTGCCTTTCCAAACCAGTCTATTTGTGGCAATTAAATGAAATTATGGTATTAAACTTTAATCAAAGGTCAGATCACTTCCAACATTTTGTATGTACTTGCTGCAATACATTCATGATGGTACCCATATATCTCAAGATTTAATTGGTTTTTAGTTTGGAACTCTTAGGAAAGAGTAAAATTTAACAGTTCTATTATTGATCCACAAAAATAATAGAGTTAAAAGAAGATAAAAAACTTGACTGATTGAATTCTAAGGCCAAGAGGGGTGTTCGCGGATCGGATTTGTGCGGTTTGCGGTTCGGTTTTGACCCGCCCGCATCTATGTGGTTTGAAAAAAAGTCAAACCGCAACCGCCCGCAGTGCGGATTGCGGTTTGTATGGATAGGATTTGCGGATGGGCAGGCGGTTTGCGTTTTGCAGTTTGAATTTTTTCTTTAAAAATTAACCTAGATATTGTTTAATTTTATCTTCACACACACTGAGACTACCTACAGATTTTGCAAAATTTTCCCAACTCAAGGAAACAAAAGCGATTGTTTTACTAAACTGGTTTCTAGATGTTTATGTATGATTGGAAAAGACGTTGCTCTTGTATTAGCTGAACTGGTTTTGGATTAGGAATAATGTATGATATTTTAGACAATACAAATGATCGGTGTAGTATTCCAAACTGCTTTTAACTTGTGGAGAATGTAATTTAGATGTTTGTGTATGATTGTCAACACCTTGTTCAGTTATTCATTGAATGTTTTTTCGATTAGGAATGACGGATATAATTATATTGGAGGTCCATGAAACAAAATCGAATAATATTGACAACACAAGCGATGCTTGCTAATAATAAATACTAAAGTTGTGGAACTTGAGGGAATCTAATCTAATTTAAATGTTTGTGTGTCTAACATGAATTTTTAAAATTAAATTCAAATTCAAATCTTAAAAATTGCAGATACTCGAATCAATCTTAAAAAATTCAACTACTCAAATTCTAATCAATTTTAAAACCACATGTAAACTAAATCTAAATTTTAACTATTTTGATTTTCTGAAGTTCACTATGGTCTAGCTCAAAGATTCAACAACAAATGAACTGAAAAATGATACAAAGGAGGTGATGTACACAATTTTTGTTCTCCTTTTTCTTTTCTTTTCCCGGAAGCATAAAAACTTCATTTAGGTAAACTAAATCAGGTTTTTAAAAGCTATTTGTTTGCTAAACGCAAATTATCAAACTTTAAGAGCACTAGATTCTGATAATGTTCCCACGGTTTCTTCAATGACTGAGGAAGAGATAAATGTTCTTCCTGTCCATAAGTACAAAGTTGCTGGCTCCCAAAGGTTAGTTATCAAGTACTACAATAATTCTTAGTATATCTGCTTCAAAGAGTCTCCTTTTCATGCTGTCCGCATCCAAGTAGCAGGATCGATTCTTTTTTTTTTTCTTTCTTCTTGTTGGATTGAATACGTCCCTCATCATACATACTTTCTGAAATGCAATAGAAAAAAGAAAAAGAAAATATGCACATGCAAATTATTGGATTTTTTATTTTTGGAAAATTAAAAATTAAAAATTAAATTGTTTTCAATTCACCAGCCTCTCCACTTATTGTTGTCTTGGTCCACAGGCAAAATAGATTGGTGACCTCTACATATGGACTTTTGTAAATTAAATTATTATTTTTTTTTAAAAAAAAACAAATAAAACAAAAAAGAGTGGATTTCTATGTGAAACTCGTTTTCTGGACCACTTCCTTCTTTCAAAGTGTTTTCCCAAGTGAAGCCAGCATAATTGCATTTGTCACATAGACTTCAAACTACACACCTAGGTCCTATCAAATATTTGTATTTGTCGTTGATAAGTGGTAGTTTTACTATCTATTGACAACTGAAGAAAATGTGAAAGTCAGAGTGACTTTGCAAACTGCAAGAAAGATTTCACGTAACTCTTAGATCTGTTTTTCAATCCAAACACTTTTTTTTCCCCCTTCAAATGGATAAAGATTAAATTACACTTCTCCTTACAAATTTTAAACTTTTAAAAGAGTTAATGGTTAACAATCTAATATGTTATTAGAACAGATTAAAATTTTACCGCATTTTCGGTGCACTACAAGAAATTTTTCCAAAATAATTTCTTTCTTAATGTGAATTCAAGGTTGGGGAAAGACAGTTGAATCCAATCATCTTCCCAAATACAAAAATTTTAGTTTTCTAAAATAGCCAAAAACTAAAGTAGCCTACTAAAATAATAACTTCCCAAACATCCACATAGAGGGACATATTGATTTTGTTGCCATTGCTGCAAGGTATCAGCAAGTTATTGAATTGTGTCGAGTGCTCGGTCTCAGCGATAGGATTTCTGGTGAGGGTTTTTAGTTTTTCTTTCAATATCTACTTTACACATTTGCATATTATTTTGAGTCGTACGATATGAATTTTGATGTTTATAGATAGGAAGCTCAATGGTTATTTATCATTATTATTACTTTGTTGCAAATGATAAGTTATTATCAAATTTTAGTTGAATGTGAGGATGCGAATCTCTTCACAAGTGATTTCATGGTGGCGATGGTGGGACTGTTGGTTTCATCAGAGGTGTGGGATCATTTTCCTCTACATATTCTCCTTTCATCTTCTCTCTCCTCCTTTCTTTCTTTCTCTCTCTCTCTCTCTCTATATATATATATATATATCTATATGTGTGTGTGAAAGTGAGTATAAGATACTAGAACAGAGAAGGATGAGAGAGGTTAAAGAAGAAGTAGAAGTGGTTTTGGGGTTTGGATTTGGAGAGGGTTTCAGGAGATGGTGGATTTGAGTAGAAGAGGGTGAGTTTGCATCTTTCTTTTGAAATTGGGGTCAAATTGTAATTTTTGAAAATTTTCCATTTCAAATTTGACGGTAGGGGCTAAATTGATACGATTTCAAAGAGTATAGGGATAAAATTGACATTATTCAAAGTCTAGGTGTGTAATTGATCATTGAGACAAAGTATAGGGGCTAAGAAATTCTCTGTGATTTGGATGAACAAATGAGTATGTCCCTCTGGTGTTATTCTCTGTCTACCCTTGGGACATCTCATATTTTACATGTACATTTCAATTATCGACGCTAACAATGTCGTGACCCCCACGTGCTCTGCACGTGGGGGTCTAACTAGTATAAAAGAGTAAAAAACACACCCGCTAGTAATTCATGGAACTGAGAAAAATTATACCTTTGCTTGTAGTGGAAGAATAAGAAATTGAGGACCTATGACAAAACAAAAAATGAAGATGTGAGTTAGTACATGGCAGCTAGTGCATATTCTTAATTATGTTCTTTGAAAGGATCACAGGGGCCCATGGTGCCCCTAGCCACCCCTTGTGTCCACTGGTGACTTGAGTAATGTAATGAGTAATGTTTATCTCCTTTCTAGTTTGATGGAAATCTTTAATAAGGAATGCCCGGTGTTAGTTTTGGGGGATTTGTTTATGTAATATTCAAAAGTAGATTTTAAAGGGCATGCATAAGTTCTTTCAAAAGCTTACCAATTTAAATAATAAAAAAAAATTATATTTGTCGAAAATAGAAAGCTGCAATTATAGTTCACATTCCCTTTTTCTCAGCTGATACTGGACAAAGCAAATATATAGGACCAATCTAGCAATAGTTCATAAGACATGTTTCTAATTTCCAATTTCTGTTAGGCTTATTGTTTCCTGGGTAATTCTTTTATTGAATAAACATATTTGCCCGAGTCAAGTTTCCTAATTGAATCTTAGGAGGACATTTTTTTGTTTCCATTCATAGTCATTTCAGTTGGCAAAAGCCAGGAGTACTTTGGAAAGAGAAAGTCCCAAATCACACACCCACCTAACCTTGTACTTACCCACCTTGCTAGTATGTGTGCACACATGCAAGCTAGAATAAAACTCAACTCGACAAGGCTTTATCCCAAATCCCAATTACTTTAGTGTAAGCTACATGGATCCATTTCCTTGAATTGATTATGATAAATACAGCTGCTTAAATTACAGATTTCATTTTAAGTTCATTCCAAATTATAGTTCAGCTTTCATATTTTCTGCATGCCATGTTCCAATAACTTGGGTATGGATGTCAGAGGTGTGTATGTGCCTAAAATCGGATTAATCTATTTCCAAATTTAAGAAATGAGGGACACAACTAAATGTGATATTACTTAATGCTCTTTTGTTTTTGTTTCTAATGCTAAAATGGTGTTTTTATGTAACATAGATCATCAACCACCGATACTATACCCAATTTGAAGCAACAATATCCAATTCACATAATAAGGGAGTTTTGACTTCATGGCATAATCGCATGGTATGCTCTTAAAAGCTTCTAAAGGCACAAACCAGACATAAAATGCATCAATTTTTCACATTCAATAATATTAGTCTCATCAAGATTTAACCCCAAGGGGCCGAGTGGTAAAGACATAAGAATAAGATCCAAGGTCTCAAGTTTGAGTCTCCCAAGGGGCCACTAGAGGTTTGTGGTTGTTAACTTCAGGCCATATGCTTTCAACGTTCAATGCATACAAAATATTATTTTAAAATGGAATCCAAAAGGTTTTGGCTAAAAATTAAAATAAAAACATTTCTACAACTTACACTAGAATGTTGAATTGGAGCACAAATTTCCATAAGTCCACGTCCAAGATGCTGTATACCATCTTGAAATAATTGGACAATGTTATAAGTCAATTTTTACCCTAGGTGCCTTTTCTCTTGCTCTGTTTGCTGGCTACATTATGCTTTTGGTTTGATCATTTTCAGTTAGTTTTGGTCTTTCTTGAATGGCTACTATGGCCTTGGTGTAGCTTCAAAAAGCTTTGCTTTATTTTTATGAAGAATGTTTACTTGCCATGGTTGTTACTATTTTTAATTT